TGTAAAACTTCTTATATGTGGCTTTCCTTTCCTTTTCCCCCTTTCAGTTGGGATAGGAAGAATAATCCAGAACCGTGGAATAAACTGAGTCCTAATGAACAGTACAAGGTATGTGGGAGGTTACATGTTTTGATCACCCCAGCTAAAAAACAAGAGAATGAAGAAAATGTCCAATTGGACCATGTCAAATGTAGGGTGGAGTGGGAAGAGTCAGAACCCTGGAAAGGCTGGGGAGTGGGCATTGAGGGATGACACATCATGCCATAGTAATTCCAACGGGGCAAAGAGAGCAAACCATCAATCATCAGCAACACCTTCTTCCATAGTTCATGGCTGTCTCCACGGACTACAAAACCCTGAAGAAAGACCGCCCAGACTTCTGAGGGTGCCACGGCCATCTTCCAGCTCCTGCCATGTCCAGGGAAGAACCACTTGCTGCTCTGCACAGTCACATCTTCCGCTCTCACATTGAGTCTTTAATCATCTTTCACTTAAATTGTGTACATGCCTTAAAATTGCACACATGCTACTGCTTCCTGCCTGCCTATGTATTGATTCGCTGGTGCCACACTACAGATGGCCAATAAAATATCTACAGCCCATTCAGCAGAAGCAAAGCAAAATATTAGCCCATTCTTTTTCTAGGAAACGCCTTGGATAACAAACAGCTCTTTTATTAAAAGAGGTGGAGGGAGAAAATGAGAAGGAATGGAACAAAGTGTGTTCCCTTTGGGTCCTAAGAGGCTTCTTGGTTCAGTGTTTCCCAGCCCCTTCCTGTGAATGCCCCTGCTGAACCTAATTTGCTGCATTTCCTGTCTCCCACGCTCAACTGTATTATTCCCACAGAGAAAGGTCAGCACCAAATAATAGACCCCAGAGTCTATCACGCTTACCGAGGCCTTTGGGGAGGTGCCCTCCATAAGACAGGCAACTCCTGGTTTGGAGGAACTGGCTTGGTGGGAGAAGGCTCATTAGGAATGGTGCAATGCAAGTTATAAATGTTATAGCACATTTTCATGGGATTCATCAGCAGTTGGTGGAGTTAGGTACTGTGGTGATCTGGACTGCTCTACCTATGTATCAAAGGATAGTTATAGAGGTATTGGCATAGCATATATAGAATATATAGAAATACTTTATTGTCACTGTACCACTTGTTTACAATGAGATTAAACGAGCCCCCCCTCCCCCCACAATCTCTCAGTCCTTGTTACACTCTGTGTGCTGTCGTACGTACCAACTCTGAATGTCAGCTGCAATGTTGCTGTCTTTCATTCAGCAGCCTCACGGCCCACGGGTAGAAACTGTTCTTGAACCTGTTGGTGCAGCTTATTAGGCTTCTATATCTCCTGCCCAAGGGAAGGAGATTTAAAAGGTGCTGGCCAGGGTGTGAGTCATCCCTGAGAATGTTCCTCGCTCTTCTGAGGCAACAGTCTCCTGCGATGACATCTAGCTGACTCAGGGGATAGCCCATGATATCGTGTTCTGTCTTCACCACCCTCTGTAGGGACTTTCTGTCCATGGCTGTCACACCAGCAAACCACACCATAAGACAGTATGAAAGAACACTTTCTATCGTGGACCGATAGAAGGAAATCATCAGTTGCTATCTAACATTGTTCTTTCGCAAGACCCTAAGGAAAAGAAGTCTCTGTTGGGCCTTCCTGGCCACCTGGGCTGTATTGACCTTCCAAGTAAGGTCTTCACTAACATATGCATGCGTGTGTTAATTTATTCTTCTTTTTTCACACGTAGTTATTTGTTATATAAATATAAGTATACCAAGCATACTATCGTACACCTAGCATCCATGCAACTAGGCATATATGGAGACTACTTAGCGGTATATAGTATTACACGTGAATAACCAGGCTTTTATTTTATTTGCGCCAGGGCCAGAAATCTGTTTTCTGTGCCAAGACATACAGCCCTGGAATATGCAAAGTAGTCACAAAGACTGTAGAGCATCTCTAGAGTGCATTTCATTTACCAAGTAACCACAACCCATTTCTACACATGTGGGTTAAGCAGAAATAAGTCCCAGTTTTTGTATTCAGCCAAATTAAGCCCCAACATTTCCTCTCTTCTCTCTCATGTTTCTCTGTGTGTATATGAACACAGTGTACACAATGCAAATACATGCTATGGGTATTAGCCAACGCAGTGCTAAATAATCTGTTATGTACACTCATCCAGTGGAACTGGGGTTTCCCCAACCCTCTGGAGCAGATTTGGGGAGGTGCAGGGCATGCACAGTGAGAGGAGAGGGCAGAATGTACAGTTGCAAAAGCATAAAGCCTTGCACTAGTGGAATGAGTGCACTGGATACTGCCCCATATGCATAAGAACAGCAGTCTTTGATTACACATACATGAATGCAGAACTACATACCTGAATGGTAAGTAGATGCCTTTGGAGGTTGCTTATGTATGCATGTGTAAGAATTAAGCATTTGAGCGATAATAATTTGTGCAATGATGGGTGAGTATTGTTTTTGGCAGATGCTGCCTCTCCAGCCAAAATCCAGAAAGTCAAAGAAAGCTTATTTATTTGTAGACCACCCTCATTCAAAGAAGCCCAGAGAGCAGCTTAGGGCACTTACAGACTGTTGCTATTTTAAAATGGGATTCAGTCACATAGCAGAAAATTCAGGTTATGAAATTAAGGCTGGGTTGGAAGTCTTTGCACAACAAACCAATTGCCCCCAAAGACTGGACTTTTTGAACAAGCAAAGTGTCAGTCAAATGTACTGGGAGGTGTGGAATGTCACTTGGGGCAACACCATCAACAACTTCCCCACAAAGAAATTGGAATGAAGGCTCAATAAATAGCTGATGCCATCTGTACTTTCCCTGCAAACAGGACAAATGATTGGTAAACAGGACATCTGAAAGCTACCTTACTTTTCTGTGGTATATGTTCACCACAAACACAGACACAGACACATCACATACACATACATATTTGCTTTGGGCCACTGACACCTCCAGTTAAATTGGGGTTCTGGATTTTTGAAACAAATATAAGAACCTGCACAACCTGCTTACCAAAGTGGAATGTGAGCATACAGACCAAAAGCAGAAATCCTCTTTTTTCAAGCAGCTGTTTAACTCTCTGCAAAAAGTGCTGCCTGCCTCCCTTCTGTGTTCTTTGGTTTGGCTCCAAGAAAAAAACAAACAAATAGAGACCAGATCTGAGAACAGGACGTGCTACTGTGCAGGCAGCTACTGGAAGCACTGCAGATGCTAATGGGGCTTTTTGAAGACACGTAACAGATGCCACCTGTAGCTAAGGAGCCAAAACAGACATGGCACAGGAAAGCCATGATGAGTTCTCTCACAGGTCCACACCCACCATACATTTAAAGTACTGTTATGCCACCGTTACCAATCATGGCTTACCCCAAAGAATAATCAGAACTGTAGTTTTTTAAAGGTGCAGGGAATTGCATCTATGTGAGGGGTCCCCTAACAACTCTCAGCACCATTAACAAACTGTTGGTGCAGGGAAAAAAATATTATATAGAAAGGAGAATTCCTGGATGCCAGGATACAGGTTTGAGACAAGTACTCTTTGGTGAGAGAACCCCAGGAGAGATTTAAGATCACAAAATATGCAGCAAAGCAAAGAATGGAAATATAGGCTGTTAGACCTTTAAAATATGTCGGTATGAGTTCCAAAACTTCCCTCTTACCCAAGCATTCTTGTTTGGTATGTTAAAAATGGTTCACTTACAAACTCTACAAAGATCAAATCCATGCACAGGCAGTAAAACTTGGCTTAGTTATACAGTGGAGATAGTTCCTAAATTATTGATATAGGAACTGAATAGTGGCTTGTTAGGGCCATGTGGGCTGAGCTTGGAGCAAGCAACTCAGACCTTATACACTGAGCTCCTCAGGTAGACTGGGAGAGATCAAACGCTTGATTACCTAATCCCTCCCAAGGTGAGCTAAGCCTGGCACGACAGCTTACTCAATGGTCTTAACCCTTTTGTGCATTAATTAGACTTAAGCATATTGGTTATATGAGGCTGATTATCCCACAAACTATACTTTCCAGGATTTGGGGGGGGGACAATGAATGTTAAAGTGGGATTAAAATGCTTCAGATGCATGGTGTGGATGTGACCACAGTTTGCTCTTCCTTTAAAGCAGCTGGGGGAAATGGGGCTCTGCTTTTAGTCAGAGCAGGAGCTTGAGGGAGCCGAAAACATTTTGGGAAAGGGTAATTTTTACCAGGAAAACATTGCAGAGGGGAAAGGGCTCCACCACCACTCCAGCTGTTTTAAAGTGGGGGCAGGGAGCGAGAATGTCAGGCGATGCAACCACAGATCTTCTGCATCATTTCTGTTTTGGTCCTCAGCAGAATTGATAAGCATTACCAGGTTCTTTTTATTAAAAAACACACCAGTTGCTTTCATCCATGCTCCACATTGTGAAAGCTCTAAAAAGGATGCTCAGGAAGAGAGTAGGAAACACCACTGTCTCATGCCTCTGCAGTCACCTGTGGTTTCCTCCTGCTCCCCAAATCTATTGTTTCATCCAGCCCTCTAGGAGCAGATTACTGTTCTGCTTGAACTGTGGAGACAAATGCAACAGTCACTATTATTAGTGGCTGCCGCCGCCCTCCACCCTCCTCTCCTCTCCTCCCCACTCTCCACCACTCCCCGCACCCAAACAAAGCCACATAGGCCTGAGGCAAAATCCAATCGCATTGAACAAATCCAATTTGCAGTAGCAGCTAATAGAGTTTGTTGCTGGTTTAAGCGATGGCAGCGTCAGAAACGCTCTGAAAAGCATCCAGGCTTCAGGCCAAGCAGAGAAAGAAGGGAGCGAGTGGGAAACTTAACCATCCCCACACACTGGCCTGGCCAAGCCTAGCTTTGTCTCTCCCCTTCCCCTTCCCCGCCAAAGGGGCACAATTTTTTCCTAGAGAATTGTTGGATTGCACCTCCCTAACAGTTCCAGGTATGGCTGAGGCAACCATAGCGATGGAGGGCTGGGTGGTGGAAGACAAGGGTGTCACATAGTCTGCACTTCAGGTTTCCGTTTCAGATCTGCCACTCAGATGACAGGACCATGATGCTGAGCAGATTATGCTGACTCAATGTAGCCCAGAAGTGGGCTTCTTCTTCCTTCTTCTTCGGTGTAAGTTTATCTCCCATGAATATGGTCTTAACAGTGTGTCCGACCGTAGGTGACTGTGGAGGCCAATTCTGGATCCACACATCCTTCCACCGTGGGGACATAGGTTTCCGGGCAGGAGTTGTTCACTGTAAGGGTTTGCCAAATGTCTCTTCCTCTTAGCTCATTTCTCCCCTTTGTCCTGAGTCTGTGCCTCCTCAAAGTCCATGACGCCTTTGGTAGAGGCTATTCTCTAATTGGAGCGCTCGCAGGCCAGTGTTTCCCAGATGCCAGTGTTTATAGTACATTTGCCTTGAGAGCGTTTTTAAACCTCTTTTGTTGTCCACCGGCATTATGCTATCCATTTTTAAATTCGGAATAGAGTAGTTGCTTTGGAATACGATAATCAGATACTGTATCTGAACAACATGACCAGTCCAATTAAGCTGATGTTGAAGAATCATTACGTTGACACTGGTGATTTTTGCTTCTTCCAGTACACTGACATTAGTTTGCCTGTCTTCCCAAGTGATAATGTAATTTTTGTTTTAAGAAACAGTTGATGGAATCTTTCAAGGAGTTGGAGATGACATTTATAAGTGGTCCATGTTTCACAAGCATACAGTAAGCTTGGTAGTATAATAGCTTTGTAAACAAGCATTTTGGTTTCCCTGCAAATGTCCCAGTCCACAACCGCTCTGCTCTTCATGCAGGAGAAAGCTGCACTCACAGAGCTCAGGCGATGCTGGATTTTGGCATCAATGTCGGTCCTTGTGGAAAGATAGGTAGGTAGGAAAAATGATCAACATTTTCCAATGTTACACCATTAATTTGGATTTGTGGAGCACCTGCATCTCAAGAACCCCCTTGGCCTAATTTTATGCAAGTGTGGAGAGCCCTAAGGACAGTGAGGATCCTAGACATTTTGCTGCCTGAGACCAAAGACAGGATGGAACCCCTCCCCACTTCACATACAGAGGTCAAATGGACAGACCACCTTTAACAGGGAAAGGGCCACAGCTCAGTGGCAGAGCATCTGCTTTGCATCCAGAAGGTATCAGGGTCAATCCCTGGCATCCCCAGGTAGGACTGAGAGGGGCTCCTGACTGAAATCCTGGGGTGCTGCTGCCAGTCAGTGCAGACAGTACTGAGCTTGATGAACTTATGGCTTATATTTGTATAAGGCAGCTGTTACTATTAGGACTCATTCTGCTGTGCTTTCACATCTGGAGTGAGCTAATTGCACTAAATGCAGAGAGGCAGCAAAAGTATCTGCCCTCAGAGGAAACTGCACATTTAAGGCACATGGCTTCCCCCAAATAATCGTAAGAACTACAGTTTGTTAAGGGTGCTGAGAATTATAGCCAGTGAAGGGTGAAGCACAGTTCCTGGGATTCTTTGGAGGAAGAACTCCTCAGAATGCTGATCCTTACGTAGTGAAAGTAGCCCCATCCACACACATAAGAGGAAGGTATTTGTAAGCTTGCAGAAGTACAAAAACTGTCATAGAATCATAGAATCATAGAGTTGGAAGAGACCACAAGGGCCATCGAGTCCAACCCCCTGCCAAGCAGGAAACACCATCAGAGCACTCCTGACATATGGTTGTCAAGCCTCTGCTTAAAGACCTCCAAAGAAGGAGACTCCACCACACTCCTTGGCAGCAAATTCCACTGTCGAGACAGCTCTTACTGTCAGGAAGTTCTTCCTAATGTTTAGGTGGAATCTTCTTTCTTGTAGTTTGGATCCATTGCTCCGTGTCCGCTTCTCTGGAGCAGCAGAAAACAACCTTTCTCCCTCCTCTATGTGACATCCTTTTATATATTTGAACATGGCTATCATATCACCCCTTAACCTCCTCTTCTCCAGGCTAAACATGCCCAGCTCTCTTAGCCGTTCCTCATAAGGCATCGTTTCCAGGCCTTTGACCATTTTGGTTGCCCTCCTCTGGACACGTTCCAGTTTGTCAATGTCCTTCTTGAACTGTGGTGCCCAGAACTGGACACAGTACTCCAGGTGAGGTCTGACCAGAGCAGAATACAGTGGCACTATTACTTCCCTTGATCTAGATGCTATACTCCTATTGATGCAGCCCAGAATTGCATTGGCTTTTTTAGCTGCCGCGTCACACTGTTGGCTCATGTCAAGTTTGTGGTCAACCAAGACTCCTAGATCCCTTTCACATGTACTGCTCTCAAGCCAGGTGTCCCCCATCTTGTATTTGTGCCTCTCATTTTTTTTGCCCAAGTGCAATACTTTACATTTCTCCCTGTTAAAATTCATCTTGTTTGTTTTGGCCCAGTTCTCTAATCTGTCAAGGTCGTTTTGAAGTGTGATCCTGTCCTCTGGGGTGTTAGCCACCCCTCCCAATTTGGTGTCATCTGCAAATTTGATCAGGATGCCCTTGAGTCCATCATCCAAGTCGTTGATAAAGATAACTGTCAAGTTAATGCCTAAAGGTGGGGACCTGAAAAACCGTCCAATGAGGATTGAGCATATTAGTGGTCGTGGAACTGGTGTTTGGGGAAGGGAAATGGAATGGAGTATCCTGAAAGATGGTATGCCTGGCTGGCAACCTAAACAGAAGCACTTCACACTGCAATAGTATGCTGCCAGTCCCACCAGTCCTGGTTTAAGTGTACCTTCTGTTTTAATTCCAAGAGAACAGTGTGCCTCAGCATGCCTCTTAGAAGTCTGAGAAAAGATGCTTTAACAGCAGCAAAATGGGGCTCAGTCTCAAGATTCTCTAGTCCTGACTGATTCAAGAAGGCTGTTCCCCAAAGCACATGGGTGAGAAAGGAAGGCAAAGAGGTCAGTCAGCGAAGCAAGAAGCTGCAGCTGAATCCTCTTTCTCTAAGACCATTAAAAAAAGAAGTCTGTTCTCCAGGTTGCAACCTAGCAACCTTACAAGCCACAATTCTACATTATTGCTGTAGATGTCCATGCTGTTCTACCTCTTCATTTGAATCTGAAATCTTGCCTCCCTGTTCATTTTTCATGCAGTCGATTTCACTCAAGGGGCAGAATATGTACATTTGTTTGCTGGGGTCTGCCTCCTAAAAACAATGTTATATTGCCAATTAAGATAAACATCATTAAAGGCTACATTTCCTGGATCAATACTGCAAAAACTTTACCATCTCTGCAACCTGATTTAAGAACAAGCTTTTCGAAGCCATGAGATATTATGTCAAAGCAGAGCCCCTTGTAATATTTTGGCATCTCCGTAATAACCTCAGCTCCTTGCAGTGCTTGAGCATCAGGTGTGCATTTGACAAGCCTCTGCAACAGGTTACATGAAAAATCAATGTTTGATCTTAAGATTAACAGTGCCAGCAGCATAAATATACCACCTCAAGACATAAAATGTGGCAGTGTTAAGCACCTTCATGCAACTGCCCTTTATCTCTTCATTGCAGAAGCCACCAACCTTTTTGGACCAAGATGCACATTTTGAGAGCAGTGCCAGATTAAACCCTGTGGAGGTCCCTAGTCAGTTGAAATCGCCGGGGGGGGGGGCGGGGAGAGAGAAGCCCTTGCAAATTCTCTCCTAATACTCATGAATATTCTACTAGGATCTGGAGTCAGTGGGAACACATGACACACTAACTCACAGGAAGCTTTGTACCTGGAGGTTTCGCATGCTCTCGCTCTAGTGGGATGACATTGAACGAAGAAAGTGTGACTTGATCCGTTGTCATGGAGCCCCTAAAAGGCAGGGGGCCCATAGGCTGGTGCCTAATCTGCCTTTTTGGTAATCTGGCACTGTTTGAGAGTGTCGTGGGGGCAGCAGTCACAAAATGGCTCTCATGGGTGTGTGGCGAAATGCAAAATTAGAGAAAGCACAATCGCAGTGAACATTTCCCCGTAATTATATTTCCATGTAAGTAAAGGCTTAAACTGTTGAATTTCTGCCCAGGAAACTCTACATCTAGAAAATCTGCCGAGGAACCTGAGTCGATGAGGGTTCTGCATCCTGCGCCCATCTGGGAACTGTAGCAGCGTGAGTCTAGGAATAGCCAGGGGTGGTGGAGGCCCTGCAACTGGCCCCTTTTGCAGTCCTGGGGTCCTCACGGGAATTGAACATTAGGAAATTCTGTAGGTAGAATGAATTTGGCAGTGTAATGGGTGCATGTTGCTCTTTTGCATAAGATACACACATTTGTCGGATGTTGGATTTCAAACACACACACACACACCCCTCTAGACCTGATTCTTGAGGGCCTCTTATCTTAGGGAAAATTTGCATGTCTGCTTAATTTTGCTGGTACAGTGTGCTCCTCCCCACGTGAAAGACAGTGAATGTGTTTATCTACTGTAACATGCTTCCACCTACCAGGAATGTCACTACAGCTAACCATAGTACATCCACTATTCTCCTGTGTTTACATGTGTGCAGCACTGTATGTTGGGAAGAACCACACAAAAATAAGCTTAAAACCAAACTATGTGATCAAAAGCAAGCAGTGGCAGAGGGAAACTGAACAAGAACAAATGGAAGTTAAAGCAGGATCCATTCAAATGAGAAATAAGGCACCAATTGTCACCAGTGAGAGCAATTAATCATCAAGACAAGCTGCCATTGGCTGGAGGAAGCGAAGAGAGAATAGTTCCCCTTAACTTGAAGCCTTCTGGTGAATTATAGACTCCCTCCATAAAACTAGAAACAAATGTAGTAGGTTGATTTAGTAATAAGCAAAAGGAATTCCCAAGCATGTAGGAGAAAGAAAGGGAGAGAAGACTGTCTCAAGGGGATTATTTGCCGTTTTGACCATTAATCTAAAAGATGAGGAGAAAATTGGGGGAGTGGGCAGGGAACGAGAACAATGCTGCCGAGAGATGCTCCCAGTCATGCGATTTGTGTTGTATTCCAAATTTTATATGCAGATTCCTCCTCCCCCCCAAAAGGCAAAAGTTTCTCTCTCTCTCTCTCTCTCACACACACACACAGAGAGAGAGAGAGAGTGAGCAAGACACAGATGCTGGAAGCTGTGGCTTGAGATTAATTCTTTTGAAAACTGTTTACTTTTGGGTTGCAAAACACACACACACACACTCATGGTCCCTACTGGTAACCTTATGCCACCAAAGATCCCAGTGCGCAGGACCAGGAAAGAGTCAAGTTCAGGAATGCAGCAAGCCTCAGCCCAGAAACATGCTTTTCTAGAACACTATAGAAAAGAATCTCTCCCTCTCACCACATGTCATTACTACTGCATTTGTGGACTTGCATGCGCACACAAACTGTGCCCCAAGGACAATAGATGGCCAGAGACTGCTACTTCCCCAGGGAGGCAAGCAGCAGCAACTGCCCTTCCTTCTAGCGCAGGCCCTCCAGATGTTGATGGACTGCAATTCCCATCATCCCAAGCTGGCGAGGGATGTTGGGAGCTGCAGTTCAATAACACCTGAAGGGCTGCTGCAAGCTTCCCCATTCATCTTCTGGGTTGTTCAGAGACACCACTGCCAGACTTAGAGAAGCTTGTGTTCACCATCCTTCATCCAAATAAAATCTAGTTTAGTAGATTCATGTAGTGAGTGCTCTCCACAAGAAACATCCCTCTACAGAAGGCAGAGTCAGCATGCAGAAGTAAGCAACGAGCCTAATTCTGAGAAACAGAAAATATGCAGGAGTTGGGAGTTATGTTTGCAGCTTTTAAAAGGTTGCATGCGTTGGCATGTGAGAATATTCTGCAGTTCTCCTCTGCGAGTGTGTTCTCAATTCCTTTCCTGTCTGTAGTGGACTGCTAACAAGTAGTGGATGGGAAGAGTGGGGTCCATTTACCATGTAGAATCCTGTCATTAAGCCACTTGGTCAGAACAAATACCTAAACCACACTTCTTCACCCAACCAGAAATGAACAGACAGTGATTTAGGAGAAGACCAGCTTACCAAGTAGTAAAGTTACCTACAGTCACATTGAGGGGGGTGGGGCTGGATGTGCTCCTGTTTAATAAAACAGAGCCAGTCCATGAATCCATTTTTCACACAATAAACCTACAGCAAGTAGATATTTTGTGCAATATTGACATTGTGAAAGCAGCCTTATATATGCCCTAACAAGGAGACAACATACTGGAAAATTTGCAAGAACCACTTGGATGCAGAGGCTGCATCTCTGGCTCCTGTAGGGAGCATTGACAGAACCATTTCCCCACAGCAGAATTTCAGGGAACAAGCAAGTCATGTTGCCTTCACCATGTCAAAGGAAATGACGCCTCTCTGTGCTCTCATTGGACAAGCTAATGTTAAAGCTCTATAATTAACAGAAAAAGTGCTCTCTTTACATAGTCAAGCACACAGACCCTGAATCGGGAGGTGGCATACAGCCATCATGACCAGAAGCCACCGAGAGCCTTGTCCTCCATGAACTTGTCCAATCTCCTTTTAAAGTCATCTGAGCCGACCCCCAGGATGGAAGGCACAGGCCTCTGAGCAGCAGGAGAGAGTGACTGCTCTCAGGTCCTGCTTTGGGCCTCCCAGAGGCACTTGGTTGGCCACTAGGAGCAAAGTATGCTTTGGCCTGATTCAGCAAGGCTCTTCTTACAATCTCACAAAGCATAATTCTGTCTGCATGGTACTTAGAAGCCCACAAGTGTGCATGTTAATATGGCTGGCCGTGTGCTTCTGGGCAGAGAAGGTACTGTGAGCATGTACACATGTATACATAAACACTCTCAAACATGGATGGCAAAGGGCATGACATTAGAAGGTAGTTTCAAAAATGCTCTGTTTTGGTTTAGTCAAGGGAGAGAGATGAAGCTGTTTAATTCTTACAACCCATCTTGCATAGTGGGCAGGCGAAAATATTACACAGGTACCGTGGATCAGAGACTAGTCCTGCTATAAAACGGAAAGGAGGTCAGTTGTTTTTGAGTCACTATAAAATGGGCATTGGGAGAAGGAGAAAAGGTGGCCAAGGCAATCACCCTTCCAGAAAAGGGCACCTGCTGGCTGGCTCTCAGAGGTAGGACTACAGGGACCCCAAGCACCTGGCCTCTGGCAAGCCCCGCCCATCTGGGGGTAATCAGACAGTCTCTGGTTGGGCATAACATCAACGTTCATCAAAGCCAGGCATGGGGAAGGCACGGGCGAAGGTCTCAACTCGCTGCCTAAGGTCAGACAGGCGCTGCTTCGTCTCTGGGTCAGCCAGCAAGAAGGTTTTGAAGTCCTGGAGCTTGGCTGTGGGAAAAGAAGGAGAGCAGGAATATAAGTAAACCAGGAGTTGCAAAAACACAGGGAGACTGAGGCACAGAAGGAGGAGTTTCAATTATCTAAGAATGTACTCTTTACTCACTCCTAAATCTGGGGCCAAGCCTGAGAAATCAGGAACCCCCATTTTACCACTTTAACCAACTTTTGGTTACATAGAGACACATGGTGGAAAAATCTTGACTTGCTCAACTTCTCTGCGTTAAAAGGCACAGAGCAGGGCCAATAAAGAAGTTGTGGGGGGGGGGGACCTGACCTTCAGAGGATGTTCTATGACCTCTTGGGTCTCAGCTGAATCAAGGAAATCCATCATTCAGAAACAGCAAATGTAATTAGTGCTGTTTTTCTAGAAAAAGAGGTGCCGGAGCTCACCGTAAACTTCTCCCTTGTTCTCTCAGAATGGCAATGGCACCCACCTGAGAGGTGCCAGAGCTGAGCTCCTGTGCTTGGGGGGTGGGGAGCCCTGAATATAATGAGTCTATCAAACAGATCACCCAGATGTCCCACTAAAGAAGTCAAAGTCTCGAGTTAGTGATAGTCAACATGTACTAGTAATTGCAACATGCAAACAACCCATCCCAATTCAACCTGCTAGCTTTTCCAAAAACACACCAACAACTTACAGGTTTTCTTTTTGACATCCAGCCCAATCTGAATTCCTTCATCCATGAACTCCACCACCTTCTGGAAATCGCCTTCTCGGAATTGTCGGGAGGTAAGTGCAGGGGCCCCTGTGAGGGATTGGAAGAGAACAGCTCTTCTCTTTGAAAGAATAAACACCCTGGACAGTGCGAAAGCTCATAAGCAGGAGAAGGACACACACACAGACCTGACAAGGAGTTCAAAGACCTCCATGCTCCTTACTCTCTTTCTTAATCATATTGACGGATTGCCTACAAAAACGTCACCAATTACCTACTGATACCGTTTTCTGCAATTGGTATTCCAGGTGTGTGTTGGGGAGGACACCGCGGGGGAGGGGGGGAGAAGAGAAGAGTCCTCATGGATTGTAGTGTCCTATCCCAGTTCAGCCTTCCTTCCCCATTAGTATAAATAATCTGCACTAAAAGTGAATGAATGAATGAAGTAATTTGGGCCAAGAAAACAAGGACCTGGAAATGAGGTGATTTATAGCGATTTGCTTACTCTGCTTAATTTATTATACTAATTAAGGGCAAAAATTTACAAGATACTGGAACTTTCTTTCCTCACTCTAATTTCTGGGATACTTTCAAGCCTATTTTTGCAGTCTTAAGGGCTAGAAAGTTGTTTTTTTATTACATGAGTAAGATTCTGAGCTTGCTGAACTCTGGGCCCAGTACTGATTTCAGCGCTCACAAGATGCATCCATGGAATGTGAGTAGTGCACCTATCCCCAAATTTCCATACGCTTCCCACTGTTTTTCTCCCTAGCAGTCCTGAGCAAAAATAATTGACATTATTTAAAAAGAAGGCGTCTCAAAGCAGAATTTAGCTTTTCTTGTGGCAGAATCTGGATTATTTCAGTGTAATTATATGCATCTCTGAACATCAGAAACAGCCAAGCACCTGACTTTTTTATTTAAGTCATTGTTCTTACCAAGCCGCAAGCCACCAGGTGTCAATGCACTCTTGTCCCCAGGACAGGTGTTCTTGTTAGCTGTTATGGACACCAGCTCTAGCACTCGCTCAGCCCGGGCCCCGTCAATGCCTTTTGGTCTCAGGTCCACAAGTACCAGGTGGTTATCAGTGCCACCTAACCAGAGAGATAGACATAGACAGAGTATAACCTTCCTAACTCACATCCATTCTCAACACTCAAATAATAGGTCCAGCTCATAACAATTATGATGATCACTAGAATTACCCTGCTGGGTTAAAGACCTTCATAGTTGCTTGCCGACACAGCCTGTTCATTATGGCGGACATGTTGATGGAGCCATCCACCATGAATTTATCTAATCATCCTAGTGACCACCTTTTCCCACCCACCCCACCTCCCAGAAAAACTGTGACATTGAATTCATAGACTATCCTATGTATTTTTTTAAATTTATTTCATAAAATTTATATACTGCTTGGTTGTAGAAGCAGTAGTACTGTGTTTAGAGCAGGGATGCTTAACCTGTGGCCCCTCCAGATGTTGTGAGATGCCATTGGCCATGCCGTCTGGGGCTGATGGGAGAGGGAGTCCAGCAACATCTGGAGGGCTAGAGGCAAGGCACCCCTGCTTTAGAGGTCGATTCATGGAACTGAACACCAGCAATTTCAAAAAAGTGTCCTATACAAGCACCTTTTTCACATCTCCAAGGTGAAAATATCCTCTTGATTGAGACTACTATATGGTGCTTGGCAGAGGAGGGATTTGAACCAGCACTCCAGTCACTGATCAAAATGCCTTTAAAACTTTCCCACAGCCCTTCTTATTCCACCCATTCCAAATAGCACGCTTCTGCAAACAGCTACAGGCTTTCACATCTCCATATGTGCTACTCACTGGCTAACCTACCCCAACACTTCCCTTCCCACTGCACCAAAATAAAGTCAAGACTCAGAGCTAAATCACACAAGCAGAAGAGTCAGATGGCACGGTGTTGGCTGGGATGTGCCATTTCAGACCACAGGTGGGGAAGCACATGTTTGAATCCCATCCCATATTAAAAATTCCCTGTGCCCACCATTAAACTAGAATATCAGAGATATAACTAAGCCTAGAATTCTTCTCCCCTACATACCAATTTCTGTATACGCTGGGAGCTTTTAATATATAATATATATATTAAATATATAATAATATAATGCCTAAAATGTGCCATCTACCTGCAATCTGAAATGGTACAGCCCAGTAAAAGCTTCCGCCATGTGACTCCTCTGGTTGTGTGCTTCTGCTCAGAAGCAAACGGAGGGTCCTCACTATACCTGAAACCAGAGTGTATCCTCGCTGCAGCAATGCCTCTGCCATGGCCTTGGCGTTCTTCAGTACCTGCTGGCAATACTCCCGGAACATAGGTGAGCTGGCCTAGAATGGAAAAAGGGATGCAAAGTGGGCCAGAATCAGCACTTCTCCTTTAAGCAGCACAACTTGCAGCATTTTGTCACTCCACAGGGGCAACACTCTCTCAGTTTCTTCCCAGCCCAGAACTCCAGGGCTGAGAGGGCGAACCTTTTTCAGTACAAGGGCCAGATGGACAAACTTCCTTGGGCCACGAGCCAAGATTGAGTGCCGGGACCAGAAGTAAAAGTGGGCGGAGCCACGCACATTACTTTGGCCTCTATACAGCCATGCAAAAAAGCCACATGTTTCTACACACGTCTTCCTCCATCCACAAAAGCAAGAGGCATTATCACATTTCAAGGGCATCATCACCATTTATTTCTTGTACCCCGCCCATCTGACTGGGTTGCTCCAGCCACTCTGAGCAGCTTCCCCAAAAATATCAAAGAACACACAATATATCAGACATTAAAAGCTTCCCAATACAGGGCTGCCTTCAAATTTCTGCGGAAGGTTGTTTAATTGTTTAGCACTTTGATATCTAACAGGAGGGCGTTCCACAGGGCAGGTGCCACTACCGAGAAGGCCCTCTGCCTGGTTCCCTATAACTTCACTTCTCGCAGGGAGGGAACCACCAGAAGGCCCTTGGAGCTGGACCTCAGTGCCCGGGCTGATCGATGGGAGCAGAGATGCTCCTTCAGGTATACAGACATATTCCAGACAGGCAAAGCTGAACAAGGAGGGCACGGCTCAGGGCTGGTGAGGGTTGTGGAATGGGGAGAGGGGTGTTTGGACTGGGGGTGGGGGCACGGCTTGAGTGTCCCAAAGGTCAGGTAGAAGGGTTTAGACACCCACATTTGGCTCCTGAGCCTGATATTCCCCTGTCCTGCTCTAGGGAACACTCTCCAACACTGGCACTTAACTGGTCAAAAGGAGGGCAGTCAATCAGCTGGCACAATATTGGCAAACTAATACTAGTTATTAGAACTGTAACAGAGATAGCTACGCTCTTGGAAACAAGAGAGAGGGCTTTTTCATCAGTGGCAACCCAGCTGTGGAATCCCCTCTGCTATGGCATTTTTATTCTCTCAAGCACTTTAAATGAAACCAAGAAGAAAGAAAATGATGTTTTAAACAATGAGTTGCCCATTCTGTTTTCCAAATTGGTTCTGAAGTTGTGGTGAATTTGTAAAGTACATCTCTTTCAATTGCTTTTTTTGGGTAGCATTATATTTATGTCATTGTCTAGCATTGTAAATGCTTAGAGGGAACTACCCTTGGATAGGAAGGGCAGTATACCAAAACATGAAATAAAAAGAAATCAAAGCTAATCTTCTAAAAGATGCAGGAATCTAGCTTCTCCTAGCAGAATTAAGAGAGCCAACGTACTGGACCATATGGAGGACAGAAGCATGCTAGGAGAGTAGCGGGACAGGGGGTGCCTACCCCTAAATGGGGAGTTTGTGCCTCAAATCCAGCAGGACAGGGGAGCAAAGGGCCCTTACTGCTCCTGTGAGGCAACATTTTTGATTAAAAGGTAGCTCCTCTCAGGCATAAGAGAACTTGATGGAACAGCATATACAGTGGTGCCTCGCAAGACGAAATTAATCCGTTCCGCAAGAGTCTTCGTCTAGCGGTTTTTTCGTCTTGCGAAGCAAGCCCATTGACGGATTAGCGCTATTAGCGCTATCAGCTGTTTAGCGGCTATTAAAGGCTTAAAGGCTTAGGGATTAGCTGCTAAAAGGCTATTAAAAGGCTATTAAAGGCTTAGCAGATTAGATAAAGGGGGGGAAAAGCGGAAAAAAAAATCAAGACTCGCAAGACATTTTCGTCTTGCGAAGCAAGCCCATAGGGGAATTCGTCCTGCGAAGCAACTTCAAAACGGAAAACCCTTTCGTCTAGCGGTTTTTCCGTCTTGCGAGGCATTCGTCTTGCGGGGCACCACTGTATATATCAGGCTCACTGGTTCATGAGCTGAATTTTCAGAATCAGGACCATGGAAAGAAGGATTGAGGTCCAGGGCAGGATAAACACAGGGCTTGGTCCAGACCACCAAGGCAAACAGGCAGGACAAGAGAGAAAAGACCTGAGCACACAACAAACGTGAAAACGTGAAGGCAAGGCGGGTTTCAAAAGGAGACAGAAGAGCTTACTATGGGGTACAGATCATTTGCACTGAGCAATGCACTTGATTAGCCAATCAACAGCTTTCTTTTGCAGGGGCTGCTGGGAAACCAAGAGTGAATGTTGCTCATTTCAGGCCATGGAGGGAGCCGAAGTGGTGATACAAGTTAACGTCGAAAATCCTGTCCAAAAGGGTATGAAGGGCTCTTATTCCCCTTTCCCACCTGTTTCAGTGCCACAGCGACAGCTGCAATGGCATGGTTATGGGGCCCTCCCTGCAAAGAAGGGAAGACAGCAAAGTTGATCTTCTCTTCCAGATTGTAGGGAATCTCCTTGCCAGTCTTCTTGTCTATGGAACGGGCACCTTTGCGGTAGAAGATCAGTCCAGACCTGCATGTGACAAGAGTGTGGAAGTGTAAACACGAAAGTACATCTATCACTAGGGCTCCAACCATACAAGGCTTTTTGGTTAGGGTTAGGGCAATGCTCACCGAAGCTTCAGAAACCAGAGAGGAATCTGAACAGAGTTTCCAATAGCTGGAGACTGTCCTTGCCTTTCCCATAACCAGCAAAACTAAAAATTATGCAAAGAATTCCATTTCTATTCCCCAACACCTTTTGCCAAAAGTCCTAACTCCAGTATTTTTGACCTCTCGCTCAGAGAGCACTTTGCCCTCTAATTACCCTAGGCACAAGATTGCAGGTGAAGCAAGAGAGATTTCACAAGTGGACCATGCTAGCCATGTTCACAGTTCCCGAGCAGATTAAGTACCATTATTAAGGCAACACAGAGGGTCTTCACAACCCCCAAAGAGATGAAAAATGAGGAACCTCTGGCCCTCTCCTCCTGCAGTGGGGAACACCTTGCGGGCAAAGCCCACACTCTTCCACTGAGTTCACAAAGAGCAGGGGTGGGGGAACCTGACGCCCTCTGGATGTTGTTGAGCTGAAACTCCCAACATCCCTGCTCATTGGCTGTGCTGGCTGGAGCTGATGGGAGTCCACCTGGAGGCCATCAGGTTCCCGCCCCCAAATGATGAGGACTGATGCTTCCCCACCCCATCCTTGTCATGCTCACCTGGCTCCACGCAGTGTCTTGTGAGTCGTGCTAGTGACCAGGTCAGCATAATCAAAGGGAGAAGGGATGACTTTGGCTGCCACCAGACCACTGATATGGGCCATGTCAGCCAGCATGTAGGCCTTCACCTCTTCACACACCTGACGGAGAATAACAGGTCAGTCTCCTGCTCACACGCTCCTTGCCACACGCCTCGCAAGCAAAAGGAACAAGCACCCTTGCACTCCAGCCCAAAGCCAGCTACTTGTAGATCCAAAACTATTAGAAGCAAACAGGTTCCAGTTGAGCCCTAACACTCACGTTTCCACTGAATTTTACTATGGGGTAGGGAGAATACACATCATTCATTCAGTCATTTTATTTGTATGCTGCTTTCGCCACAAACCCCCCAAAAACATGCTCCAAGCGGCTTACAACAAAGAAACAAGGATGCATTTCAAAGCCCTACAACTGCCTGCCCTCCCACTGCACCCAGGGGCTACCTTCTTGATGCGGGCGTAGTCAATAAGGCGGGCGTAGGCACTGGTCCCAGCTATGACGAGACGCGGGCGGAAGAGTCGGGCCGTTACTTCTAGCTGATCATAATCAATCAATCCTGTTGTTGGCTGCAGGGAGGGGGCCAGGGAGGGAAGTTAACACATGGGGATTAAGCCAATATTTCTCCCTTCACCCATAAATGCACACACAGGAGAGAAACATCCCATAAAGCAGGGGTTGGCAATGGGCTGCACCAAATCCAGCCCACATATGAAGACGAGTTATCTTACAACTCAACTGCCCCCTTGCCTAGTGTCTTGTTAAGATGCTTGTAGCTGGCTGAAGCTGCAGACAGTCTGATGTCCTGCCTTTCTAAGACAGAGAAGGCTGCAGGAACACCCAGGCTATGAAACCCCAGAAAGGGCTGAAGTGAGTCAAGTTGGGATTCTTTTAGCTAAAAGACTAGGATGCCTAGCAGGCTGCCTTCTCTGGTTCAGACCAGCTGATATTTGAGATCTTTTGAGGAGACCATGACCAGCAGATTGTCATTTGGTGGCAACATGGATGAAAGCCCTTCTCCACCAGAGGGCTCACCCTCTGGAATAACCTCCCTCGGGTCTCTTGTGAGGCAGAGACCAGAATACAATATGAAATTTCTAACAGATCTTTCTACTGTAATGTGAAATCACTTTCAGATGCTTCATGGGAAGAGACTCATAAATGAAATGAAAGAAATAATAGCAACCACCTTTAAATGCCTGTTTAAATTTATTAGAAAACAAAACACCAAGGTGGTTATCCCCAATAGAAGCTGAAGCAAATAAAAAATTAATATGAGTGATAACTGGGTACCTATAATGAATTGTTAGACTTTTCAGAAGGAGAGCCAAAAATGAGAAAAATAGAAGAGATTAAAGAATTTGTATCGGTTAAATTATCATCAAATCAATTCAAAATTTAAGATAGATAAGAAATTGAGATTTGCATAAAAACCATCACAATTTGAAAAATGCTACGATCCAGAGCTAAAATATTTAAGTTATTTTTATTCTTATTACCTTGTGCTTGACTGTAACACAGTATGCATTGATGATATGATAAAACAGAAAAGCTGCTTCTTTTTTTTTAAGGCTCTTTAAGCCTTACGTTTACCCAAGCTTACCCTGGATTTGACTCTTAGTTTTGAATTCTGCATGCTGTTACATTTTATTTGTGGTAATTTTCAAAATAAATAAATCAGAACAGAGATCTTTTCTTTTTTTGCCACCAGGTAGCCTCTCAACGACCAGTTTTATTGGCTGCCAATACTGACTGAGAATGCAGAACTATAAAGACGCTGCCGCTGCTGCTGCTGCCGCCTCCTCTCCTTCCCAGAACAAGGCGGCATTGTTGCGAGAATGTTTTCTCAACCTCAGGCATCTTTGTGTAGCTGGCAGAGGCAGGCCAAGTGGTCGAGCACACAGAGAACTGACGCTTCTTGGGGAGTAGAAAAGAGGAGAGGATTCTCTACATTGCCTTGGGGAAAAACAGCAACTACACTTCAGAGCCACTCAGGAAAAGTGGATGTGAGTGAACTGTGAAATTATCTCCTTCACCCGTAATCTTGTGCAAGGGATAATCAGTGGGCAAAGTGCACTCAAGAAGTGAGAGGTTAAAGATAAAAGAGGCTGAAGGAATAGCACAGAGCCATCTTGCCAGTATTAAAACAACAGGTGCCCAAGAAATCCAAATCCATACATGCTTCGCAAACTGAGCACATCTGCCAAATTTCAACTCTTTTCTTTACATGATTTAATCTGCATTCTTTAGCACTGTGCATAATATATTCTAATTTGGATAGTTATGAAGAGGAACAAGAAGCTACACAGGCTATGGAAGACCTCTTCTCAGATTCCTGAAAGGATTACTTCCAAGCATTATCTATATGTGGTTAAAAGAGCTTGGCCCTTGTTTGCAAAAAAACTAGCTAGGGGAGAAGACTATGAGGGCACCTAGATCATCATCATCACCATCATCCACCCTTCACCCAAAGGTCCCAGGACAGCTTACAGCAATAGTAAATGCATCATTTAAAAGAGGCTCAACAGGCCCCTCCCCTTTGGCTGCCAGGCCATTTCAGCCAAGTCACGCCCACCTGCCCCATACCTGACATCATAAACGCCATCAGATGTGGGGCAGGTAAGGTCATGGCTGAGCAGAAAGAGATTTTGCAGGAACAGTCAATCAGCTGGACTGCAAAGCCCCGGGTACGATGCCCAACAATCAGCTGACCCATGGTGTATTGATATATCACCCAGGACTGGATCGCAATGGCTGCTTCACCCGGCAGTATATTGCGGGTGAAACTGCCACTGCTGAGTCCCTCTGCCACCAGCGCTCAGCACGCAAGGGAGAAATAAGCTGCTGCCGGCCGCTGGCAGCAGAGGGACTCAGGAGCAGCAGCGGTTTCAGGTGCCATTGCACTCTGGCTGGCCCTCATACGGCTGAGGGGCCGATGTAGCTTGTTCCTCCCTTGGCTGCCCGCTTGGGCAGGTGGCTCCTTTAAACTTCTCCGTTCTGGGGTTGCCTGGCTGCCCGTCCCTCAGTGGGGAAGTGTAACGGTGCCCTCAAGCCGCCTCTGGCTTGCGCAAGCTGGAGGTGCCATTACACTTCAGGGAGCCTTGAGAACGGAACCCATCAGGCTCCCTCCGTTTACAAGTGAGTGGAGAGCGAGCAGGCTGCTTCCCTCTCCGAGGAGAAAGAGGGAGCTCACCTGCCCCTCACCCCGACATCGGCAGGGCTCTCACCATCTTCAAGCAAGTGGGGAGCGAGTGGGCTGACTCTTTCTGCTAAGAGGAAGAGGCAGCTAGCTCGCTCGCCCCCAAGAACCCAAAGGCGGAGGGAGCCCTGAGGAGGGAGCCAGAGGCGGGGTGGTGGCTCCTTTAAAATTATCTGTTCAGGGGCGCACAGCTGCCTGCCCCTCAATGGAGAGACTGGGCTTGCTCAGCTGGGGGCGGGAGCCTTCTCGCCCCCCACCTGAGCAGTGCAAACAAGCTGCATCATCCCAGCCCACGAAGCCCTTGGGTGAAAGTGCCTCAGCTCCAGCGCTGAGCACTGTGGCAGTTTCACCCCATGCCTTGTGGGTTGGGGCCAAGGCAGCTTGTTTCAACTTCACGGTGTATCACGAGATCACAATGTTTGGCTGGTGATGCATCGCAGTGTTGAAAACCTAACATTGCCCAGCCCTACACTGGGCTTTAGAAGGCCCAGCAATCACCTGATAGTCAGGCTTGTCGATTGCTACCCAAGGGTGTTGCAAAATGCTCCGTTCAGGCTGTACCTTTGACTGCATTGTTTGATTTCAAACCATGTGGGCAAAAATGGGTCACCTGACATCTTTATGATGTAAAGTGATTGGCAGGTGGGTGTCTCCACACACCTGTCAACCGTGCTCCATGGAGGGTGGGAGAGACAACAATCTGGGCCACTGGACAGATCCAGTTCTCATCTGCCGATACAAAGGGGGGGGGGAGTGGAGAAGAGACACACCACACAACGGTGTCTCCCTCTCCAGGCAAGGTAGCTGACTACAGGGTAGAGGCAGCTGATGGTATGTAGAAGGGCTGTAGAACTGCAGGCAGGATCCTACACAGACTCTCAGCACAGAGGAAATGGGTGGGGTGGTGGGGAGGGGGAAAAGTGCCAAACCCCCTACCTACCAACATGATGCTGACACAAACCCCCACACTAACACTAGTCAACAGAACAAAAGTACAATGCCCCCCATCTCCCTTGCCCCCTTTCTCCCCTCAGCAGCAAGATGTCTATGACAAAAGTGACACTCACTAAATGTAAATGAACTGTGAAAAAGACTATGAATTGAAAGTGGAGGTGATTCCCTGTTTATCTGTTTTGCAACACAGAAAAATCTTAATAAAAACTATTTTTTAAGAAAACCACAGCTAACACTTCACACACAACGGCGTACATTTTGTATACACGAAGGCAAATCATTATTATCATCATCATCAGCCTCCCCACGCTGAAATCAATTAGATTGGCAAGTACTACAAGCAAGGTCTACTTGGTGGTGGCCCTATATTTGTGTAAATCCCTCCTGCAGCTACTTTTCAGTTGGAAGGTTAAGCTAAATTTTGATTACTTAACCACTCATACCATGACTGGTTGTAAAACTGTTTCTTCTAAAATGCTTTAAAATTGTTTTTATGAGCACCATGATTGTCTGTGAAATCCTGCTAAACTGATGTTTTAATGATTGGACTGAATTTTATTGGAACAAGAAGTTTCAGTTTTATGTTTCATTTATGAATATAAGCTGCTTTGGGGGTATTTTGGAATAAGGAAGGATGGGACACATTTCTGTTCACTCACATTCAGTTTGTAGGGCATGGATTCGAAGAAGATGGACGTGGCCGAGATACGTTTGATGTCAGACATATACCCATGCGTTAGGCTGCAAGAATAGGGAAGACATATTGTCAGGAGATAATCTAAGCCCCAGTCATAGCAGAACTCTGACATGGGACCAAGTAAGAACCTTCCCACCCAAATGGACCCACAGATTAACTAGTTATTCATCCTCAAGTAGGACAGTCACTTCCAAGAGGGATTTTCTATGTGGCAGAGTAGGATCTAGTAACTACACGAGGCAAAGTATGTCCCCAAAAATACGAGTTCAAAATCTCCACAAACCAGAGGGAGAAAGGAACCAGAAGCTTCTACAGACACAAAGCTGAAAAACCAATTGCTATATTAAACTGACTAAGGACCAGCAAATTTCGCTTTGTCAGGGGACCATTATCCTGTGGAGGATTTTATCACCAGTGTGAAGAAAAACCACAATGCCCTGAACCCCACACAAAGACCCACTGTGTCAGCATTGCAGTCCTTCTCCTTCTACCTCCCCATCCCGGTTCCTTCAGTTACACCTTCCTCACTTGCGCCTTTATTAGCCATGCCAGTTCCCAGTTCCACACCCCACTTCGAACGTACTGGCCTCCATCAGGCAAGTCCAGCCCCATGAGTCGCTCGTGGGGCTGCAGCAAAGCTGTGTAGGCAGCAAAGTTGGCAGGAGATCCAGAGTAGGGTTGGACATTCACTCCCCAGCACTCGGGGTCCAGGTCAAAGGCCTCCAGGGCCCGGCGTTCACACAGCAGCTCAATGCGGTCGACCACCTCAGCGCCACCATAATACCTGTGCCAGGATGCAAAGGGGAAGGCACAATTAAAACATCAACAGCCCACACATCCGTTGCCCTGGTGGCACCATTATCTCTGAACCAGAGAAGAAGACATTGAGAAACAAAGAGAGACCCCTCTCTCTCCTCTTCATGCCACAATGTATAAAGGAAGTTGCCAAGACCACCATCCCCTAGCAAAGCCTCCTGCTGCCAGCCCAGTGCTCCGCAACTGATTTTTCATGCGCCCGCCTCTTCATTACCATATTCTTTTCCCAGATGACAAAATGCCCCTTCCCCCGCCTCTTGTCACGCCTAATATTTCATCCTAACATGCTTCTGTGGGTGATAACCACTCAAAGAGGCAACAGCTGAGGCCCACGATGCGCCCTGCCCAAGTCTCTTTCACTCAGGCCTCTTCCAAGGGAGGACCATTCCATGCATCAAGCAAACACCAGGCGCACCGGGACAATTCAGTGGCGGTTGCATTCTGTCTCTTCACTGTAAGAAACAAGCCCCAAGCTATCCATGGCAGTCTCAGGAAGAAGAGAAAAGAGGACTTTTCTTCATACGCAGTTGGTACACCTTCTCGCCTGCCCAGCCATAGCTTCTTCCCACTAATGCTACGTCTTCCTTTGGCTTATTCCCCCTTTCACCCCCTTCCATCCCTCTTCCTTGGTGCCCTCAGACATTACAGTGTGAGCTGCTCATCCCTAGGTTCATCCTGTGACATGACTTTGACATTTAAAGGCCCACAGCGATGCTGGTTGGGGCTGTGAATCCCAACAAGATCTGGAGGGCCACCACTCCCCCATCGAATGGGAACCACTATTTTGCCCCTTGCTGTTCTTCTTTAATGGCACTTCTTTTCTGCGATGTTTGTGGTTCTCCCCCACTCTCCACTCTATCCTCACAAGAGCCTGGTGAGGTAAGTTGCACTGAGAGACTGTGACTGGCTCAAGGTCATTCAGTGAGCTTCATGACTGAGTGGGGATTTGAACCCTGGTCTCTCAGGTCTTAGCCCAGCACTAACCACGATGCCACCCTGACTCTCAGGGTGCTTTTCCTGCATTCTTGCCCTCATGTTTTATCCGCAGCCCCCAAAAAACTGATGGCACCGGGCCTAACATCTCTGCAACTCGAGCCCCAGTGATATCTACTTGAGAAGTTTTTAACATCATTTTTATCCACTGCAAGAGTCTGGAGGCCAGCAGGCCATCAAAACTGGTCTCTGCTCATCCACTTTCAGGACCCTCCATCCCAACCCATTACTGATTTATTTTACCCAGACAATGGCATTACCTCTTGCCAGGGTAGCCCTCTGAATACTTGTTGTTGAGGCAGGATCCAAGAGCCTCGAGCGCAGCTCGGCTGCAGAAATTCTGGAATTTGGGAGAAAGAGTTTCAAAGGTAAGAGCTTCCCATACTCCTTGATATATGGAATGTGCTAAAATAGTATGATTTTTGTAGAGTTGTATTGATATTTTTTCACCCCCTTTTTCTTTCTTTTTAGCTCATTTCCTATGTCTGTATTCCTACTGTAAAGTATAAGATACACTAGTCATCAATATAACTCATATCTACTGTTTATCAAAATGTGATTTGCCATTTCTCTTCTACTGTATTTTATTGTTTTCTAAAATTTGTGCAAAATTAATAAGCAGTATTTTGAAAAGAAAAGATGGAGGGGTAAAGAGAGAAAAGAGAGAGAAGGGAATCACACACAAGCAATAGATAGAGAGCTAGAAACATTCCATCCCTCTTATGCCATGTTCCTCAGACTGCATGCTTCTCTTTCCAGGTGAATAAAAATGGAGTAACTTTTTCACCTTGGAATAAGATATAACTAAGACCCAGACAAGGTAATGAGTTTTGCTCTGCAGCAGTCTATCCAAGCTTGTCATTTTGAAGAGAGAAATAGGAATTGCATCCGAAGGGGAAGGCCAAATAGATGAGAGAGACTGATCCAGGCTGGGACCACAGTGAGTTGCAACTTTGGGGCCAAGTAGCAGCTGGGGGTGTGATGATCTGAACAGTGGGTAGGAAGACATGCAGAGAAATGTCAGACATCTCCTCCTGTCCATACACCAGGATCTGGATTCAAAAATGAAAAACTCAGACTAGTTCTGTGTCTTCCTTTCATTAGCTTACGCTATTTTATCACTCCAGTCATTTCTAAAGCTAGTAGGGCCGGCCCTAGCATTAGCCAGAGTGAGGCGCTTTGGGCAGGGGGCAGCAACAGCCTCTCTGGCCATTCCTTCTGATCTCTCCTGGTACTCTGTTTGAGGACAGAGCTGTGTGTGCCCTACACTGCCAGCCCTGTGCTCCTGGAATTAGCCTGATGCCTAAAGTTGTGGTGGAGAAGGCTGTCCCATTGCCAGCACTGAAGTAAGATTGAGCTGCCAGTCAATCAGCTTTTGTATGTAGAGTAGGGGAGGGAAGCCTCTTGCCCTTGGCTTCTGGCAGCAAAATGCCTTGGGCCAGCTATGCATGTCATATACACAAGACCATACCTGTGAGCTGGACCCAGATTTAGTCATGCTTAGAGCAGAACCAATGAAATGAATGGGAGTCAAGCTCCATTGATGTCATTGGGTCTAGCTTTAAGCATGACCTAATCTGGATCCAACCCCTATGCAGTCTGCATTCATGAACCCAGATTAACTACCTTTCATTTGGATTCATCACCCATACATCCAGGTAAAGATTATAAAGATTATAAAAGCAGAGGGGTTGGGGCAGGGGGGTAGAAAATCCCAAAGCGTTTTTTCTTTTCCTTTGGACACTTTTCCAGCCCTGTTAAAAAGACCTCATTCTTGAAACCTAAGATTCTGAAATATTTTTTACAGTCCTGACTTTAAACATTTTGCATTTAAACTGTGCATTACAAATGTTTTATTATTTATTTCTCAAATTATTATGGCACTTTAAAACTAATGAGCTCAAAAGCAGCCAACACCAAAACTTAATCAAACACAATAAAAAGAAGGATATAAAACATCATTCATTAAATAGCAACTAAATTATAAGGGAAGAATTAAAATCAAAACCCGGTTTAAAAACACAGCAGCTAGTCCTCATGAACTATTTATTTCTCAAACTGCATACTTCAAATGAGGTTAAAGGAAGCCTCTCCTCCTGTAATTTACTAAGAAAGAACGCTCAATCGCATCCCTTGGAAAAGGCCATCGCTGTAGTCAAGCATTCAGCCTGAAGACACAAGGGCCAAACGTGGCTTAGGGGGCTGGGGCTGAATACACTCTTACGGCACTCTCAAGTGTGTAAGAGAGCTGCTGGATCAGACCCAAAGCCTGTATGACCAAGAGAGATCTCTTACCAGGAAGGAGAAAGCACTGGCCAGCCAAAGGATAAGACCCTTTTGGGCTGCCCTCCGGGGCTAAGGAAGGAGACACCCACCTCTGAGGCAATGAGCTCCAGACCCCGGCACTGGCGATCCTTCTCTTGCTGCACCAGCGCCCACATCTCAGGGTCACTCTCGGCCAAGCTCTCCTGCCCGGTCCAGCCTGGCGTCTCCTTGGCCGATGCAGCAGCTGCTTTGCTGTGTTGGGCCCGCAAACTCCCCGCAGCCTGGCAGCATCTCCGCAAGGGCTGGCAAAAGGGAAGGAAGGAAGGAAGAAAGAAAGAAAGAAAGAAAGAAAGAAAGAAAGAAAGAGTGGGTTAAATTAGCCTGGCCATCCTAAAGTATTTTGAGGATTCAAGCAGCATTCTATCCACACATTAGAATGAACAAAGGGCACAATCCTCCATCTTGGAAGTTCGGCTGCACATGTTGCAATCCAGGCACCTGCTCTACCGGAGCAGAGAATACATCAAACCTGTTGGATTTCTTGGAGACCCTGACTGCGTATCCCATGAGACCTGCTTGACACCAGTAGTAGGAGCCTTTTTCTTATGAAAGGTTGCCATTAAATCAGGTCTATAGCCAATAGGTGACATGTTGCAAAATAGGTGACCTGCCATCGTGTGTGTGTGTTCCAACCAGCCTCTCTTTCTCTCGCTGCGTCTCATCACACATGCGGAAAGTACGCCTGTGCAATATAAGCCTCCTCATTCTAGAGGCAGACAGCCATCTTGGATTTGGGATTAAGTCCCACCATAAGCAGTACACAGAGAGTTTACTGGCATTCACCGGCTTCCCTACCATTCAAAAAAACAAACCAATAGAGGTTCACAAAAAGAACCACGAGTCTTGGAGCATCTGATGGTCTCTTGACTGCAAAAAGCTCACTGCAACAATATTCCATATCCAGACAGGAACCTCCATGTTAGCCTTCCTGAACCTGTGGCCCTCCAGGAGTTGCTAGGACTCCAACTCCCATCAGTTCCAGCCAGTATGGGCAGTTTTCAGGAATGATGGGGCTTGTAGTCCAACCATATCTGGAGAGCTACACATTCCCTCTGCCCCTGCTACATGCCTTCCACACTGGCTCTGGTTAATGGGAACTGTAGTTCCAAAACATCTGGAGGGCACCAGGTTCAGGAAGGCTGACACAGAGAATAATGCCTGAATAGGGCTATGGATACCAGCCGAAAATCACTAAGCAAGCTTCGTGACTGAGCAGGGATTTCACATCCCAGCCCAGCCGCAAGACTCCATCCACTATGCCATGTTAGATCTTGGAGCTGCCAACTGGGGCTTCCTCACCGCCCCCCTTCCCTACTAGCAGTTATGTCCATTTCAGAACTAGGTTATTATCATGCAAACCAGATGGGTGCTGAGGAATTTATATTACAGCCTTCTGTAATCTAAGGCAGCTGTTGAGCCCAGTGGGAGATTGTGAAGTTTGGGGGGTGGCAGGCAGATAAATCATCCCACCAACTAACATATATAAAAAAGAAGTCTAGAAAGCAGCAAATAGTTGAAGTTTATCAGCCTCTTTCCACGTTGCCCCAATGGACCTACAGAATAGCATTTGCTTGCATTAACATGTAGAGTTTGGGGAAAGGAGTAATTTCTTGCCACTTCCGTCACTGAAAAAGCAACACAGTGAGAATTCTTGAAAGAAAAAGCTGGAGTGGTGAGGTGGCAGGAGGAGCTGCTTCAAGGGCTGCTGAAACAGAGCTGGCTTTGTTAGGGTGTTACGTTGCAGATGGTCAAGTGAGCTTCATTTGTGCAGAACAGCAGACACAACAACTTCTGCTGCTGCTGAATGCTGAGTTGGCAAGTCCAGCTTGGGGCGGGGGGAGTTGCATGTGCACACGCACAGTTTGCTTCTTCTTTCCTACTTCTTTCCCACATGTTTCAAAGAAAGGCAACACAAATGCCAGCCAACAGCATTTAAAAGGAGGCAGTTTTTCTTTTTAATAAAAAAAGGCTGTACTTTGAAAAAACATCTAAAACTCATAATCACCTCTGCAGATGATGTAACCGGCTCATCTCGGTTGCATCAGCAAGGAGGGAAAACTCAATAATGCATCTTGGCCTATGAATGAAACACTCCCTGCATCATTTTAAAACCATCATCGTTTTCTAAGCAAAAAGTGATTCTACAAACTGCAGGGGTTGTTTGTTTTTTCTTGTAAAGCGCAGGCACAAACTTGTTTCTGACTGCTGGATAGAAGGGTTACAAAATATTTACAGTTCACTGGCTGTAGAAACTCTTTCCTTTTAATTTTGAGTTGTAATCATGTTACCCAATGCAGATATCTTTAGCCTGCGAATCAGGAAGCCGTTTTCAGGGGGTATGTCATTTTATTGACCGGGTTCAAGAGATCAAATAGCAGCTGGTGCCAGAGAGAAGCCTCTGCCAAAGAGACTTTGGTAAGGTGATAAAGCAGCTGCCCAAGTTGCATTTCTACCTGTTCCTCCCACTCCACTTTCCCCCACTCCGAACCTGGGCCTCTTTCTGCCAATTTCCCTTTCTTTCCCTCGAAGCTGCAATGTCAGATAGGACAGTGAGAAAGGGAAAGAGATGCTACAAAAATTAGCCTATAAAAGTCAGCAAAGCGTGACCGAGACTCTATTATCAGCTGAAACCTCTCCCAGCAGTCTTGGGAACGTCAAGATAACTCTTCGCCTCGCTCGGTGCCGCATCCAAGAGCCATTAAGCCAGAATTAAATAATAATTGAGCTGCAGAATGGCGCACAGATCGGTGCTGCTATCAGATCCCTGGCTTTGAACCCTCAGGCGGGTATATAAACTCCTTACCCAAGAAGCTTGCCTCTCCAAACTTGCACGACTTAACAGTCCCATTTGGGTGGGGGGGGGAGAGAATGCCATCAGTGAGGACAGATCTTCACTCACTCGAGGAGCAAAAAAACTACTTCCCCAGACACTCCAGAACTGAACTGTCTAGGGAAAGGCCTCCTGGCGCCCCGCATATGGGGAGGGAGGAGAGAGGGGGCACGATGGAGGTGTCGCTCAGGTCAGTTCCACAAGTCAAGCCACGCGCACTCGCCCATGTGCTCCAAACATCCACAGCCCCTGACCTGCAGAGCACTTCGGTGAAGTTGCGCGTGGGACTAAGGAAACCCCTCCCCCCCCCACTCTCCTTTTGCATCTCTTCACTACACTCAACTTAGGAGATCCCAGCAGATCCAACCTCCTCCCCACCTCCTGCCATTCGCATCCCACGCCTTACCTTAGCAAAGTGTCTAAAGGGAAAAGGCAGCATAGCAGCCTAAGGTGCAGAAAGTGCAAAAACCCCAAAGTGTTTTGCTAGTTGTTGCTCACGCTAAGTGAGTCTCCAAGATCTGAAAGGAGGACGGGGGGCTGGAGAAAGGGAAACACGTGGTTCTCCCTCCGCCACTGCCAGTTACTACCGGGTTCAAAAGGTATCATGGGAAATGTAGTTCTCCCTTTCCCTCTCTCGCTTTTGTTTGAAGTCAGCCGAGCGTCGTTCCCGAACTGGCGGATCGCCCTGCAGGCTGCGCGTAGCAGCTCGTACTTCTCTTGCATTTGAACCCGCGGGACGGACAGAAGATCCCACTCTCCTCTCGCAAAAAAGGGAAAGTATACGCATCAGTAACGTGTCAGAGAAATTTGCAATTCTGTAAACAAGGGGGGTTGCTGCTGGGCTCAGTTTCAGAACTATATATTGCCTGTTAGCACCGCAACTGAATTTAATACGTACACAGTCTGCCTTGCCACATGTAGGATTATACAGCTGCTCGTGCACAGATATATTGTCCCTGTCCGAGCTTCCGTCGCTTTAAGAGTTAGAAATTCAGTCGATACAGGTTCTGCCACTCCGGCATCGGCATGCAGGGGAAGGCTGCACCTGTTCAATTTCTGTCTGTCACGTGACTGTTATAGGCACGGATAAAAAGATGTGCAACCCTACTGTTTCTGCATATTATAGGCGGCTTACTTTTCCTGCTCCCCTGGAAGGGTTCCTGTTAGTTGGCCAAATTCAAAAGATGTACCTGAGCAAGCACACATAGGTCACCTGGTCAAATCTTTCTCCATTATGGATAGATATATTGCATTTCTATATGCCAGTTTTGTGGGAAAACTCTGTCCTCTTTCCTTTTGGCAATGTTTAAGTGGCCGCAGTATTTATTACGCCCATAATACAGGGCGGCGAGTAGCTTAAGATGAGAACAAGCGCCTCGCCAAAGGATAATCAGTGAGTTCATGGCAGAGTTGCCTTTCACAGCACCTGCTCTTAACCACGATGCTCTATCAGCTTTCTTGAATCAGCCCATCTGAGCCCCAACAAAACCTCATGCAGGCGTTCCCTGAATTTCAGCTACTCTGTGGTTGTCTCCTGTCAGTGTAAGAAGATTCCCAACAAACAGACCACATTAAAGCATCTCACTCCACACCCAAAACAATGGAGTTGCAAGCATTCAGGTGTTACTTCTTTGTGTTTTAAGATCTTTATATCTTGAGCCATTGTACTGCACTACAGATGCATCCTGGCACAAGGGCAAAGTATTTTTACATGACACTCCAATCTCTGAATGGTGCAGGATTCCAGCAGTCTTGGTGCTCATCCAGGGTTTGTGTTTCCTTCGGAAATGAGGCACAGCAAAGACTGTGGTGTCTTCATGATGTATGGTTTAGTTACACATATGTACAACCTGCGTCTAGAGTGGAGGGATTTCCAGCAATCACATCTCAAGATAATTCTTTGCTCCTCTCTTGGGAGCAGCAGGCTTAGGTCTGCAAACAGAGGATGCGGCCATGCAGCCTATCCCTTTGTTACAGCCTGTTGCAGGCAGCCCACCAAGGATTCTGCTGGTCCCCCTTCTTCCCCACTTTTCAAACCTCTTGCAAAGTGCCACTAAATAGATAGATAATTTATTACGGTCGGAGACCAGCTTATAAAACACACTTGGGGGTACAATCCCAGAAGGAAAACAAACATTTAAAACAACGTACAAAAGTAAATTTAAAATTTATAAATGTGATAAGCGTATAGACACTTAAAAACTTTAAGATAAGCTACCACAGAGAAATGACCCACACTCACCCATGGACAAAGTGCCGCTACTTTCCTTCACCCTACACCATCTAGCACTGCAATCTTAAACCTTTTCTTTTCCTTGCAACACTGAATTTAAGGCAGTACAAGCAGCTCTCCTGCACAGGGCACTGAGCCCAGGGGGTGCAAAACAACCACAACAACCTGTTTTTATACAGGTACCTACTGAGAAGATCCATAAAAAAGCAAATGTACCAAAAGGAATTATTGTGAAAATAAGAATTGGGGGGGGGGTGCCACTTTGTCCTTGCTAAGGGCACCATATTGCCAAAGTCCGCCCCTGGCTGGAGGAGGAGCCCCTCCCCTCCTTGTATGGCCCTCTGGTGGTTTCCTTGGTGGTCAGGGGCTGGCCAGATGAGGAGGAGTGATGGAGACCACCTCCCTATCCTGACTCTCTCAGGGAGGAGGAAGAGGAAGACCGTATAGATTTACAACAGTGGTTTGCGGGAGGTGACAGCTCAGAGATGAGGGGGAAAGTTGGGAAATAATGGGAGAAAGGAGGTGAAGGCAGAGTCGGAGCAGCAGCTGGCTGACATAGTGTCACTAGAAAGCATTCCAGACCCCCCCTTCTCCCAGAACCCAGTGAGCCATAAAAGTAGGAGAGCAAAGAGCTCAAAGACAGAGGGCAGGTAGCAGCACCCGTAGGGGAGGTGATGATGATGATGAATGTAGAAGTGGGAGAGATGAGAGGGTGGAGATTCACTCTGGACTACACCATTATCCAAGAGGCTGGGTTCTATAGCCTTTCTCTGTAAAGTTTGAAATAAAAAAGGGCTGTAAGAAACTTTTCCTTGTCTTTATACTTTCCTGGGCAACCAGCTGGGAGCCCCTGACAGCACCCTTACGTTGATGGGTCATCACCTGTCTGCTGCCAATGGTCCACTTTAGCAGCTTTGCCAAGTTGGCCTGCTTGTTGGCATAAACTAAACTAGGGGGTTTCAGCATTTGGCACTGTTTAATCAAAACTTGATTAATTCTATCTTTTACTAAATCCAGGAATTCTGGGGAGTCTGCCCCCCTCCATGAACTCATAACAGTATTTACCCCCATCCCCAAATTTATGCAAGGAAAGTCACCAGCTTTAGCTACTAGCTATATTCTGGCTTCCTTGGCCATTAAACACAGTAAAACCAGCAGCCCAATCCCATGAGAGTTGTTTACTCAGAAGGAAATCCCACAGTAAGTGGACATCAGAGTACATTCCAGTGAGCAAACCACTGATATTTTAAGCTTCTTAAGTTCAAGGGCCACAGCTCCCTTTGGGGCAACCTTCTAGGGGCCACATTCCATGGATGGGTGGGGCTAGAGGCAAAGGTGGGCAGAGCAACTAATACGAATTCTACCTAGTTTCTTCACTCTCACACACCCCTTTCTATTCTCCGTCCAGGAAAAGCAAGAAACTTCATCAGAGTTGATGGACACATTCCAGGCAGGTAGAAACACTCATGGAGAGTGTAAAGCAGAGCTGGAGATGCGTGTGGCCTTGGGAAAGGTCTGGAGGGCCACATTTGACCCCTAGGTTTGAGGGTCCCCAGCCCTGCTTTAAGTTAACCAGTAGGTCCCACCCCCGTGGTGGACAAGTTCATGCTCCAAAGCTCTTCTCTTGATACTAGCTATTTCAAACACCACCCAGATGTCACTTCCCTGTGTACACCACATTTATCTATTTTGTGCATAAACAACAATGCATACAGGCATGTACATTCACATACTTCTGGGCAATGGGAAGAGCAGAATTTTGTTCGGTTTCCCCAGCCTCTGACTCAAAGAACCAAATGCTCCACCATAGAAAAGGTAAGGTATGATGCAGCTGTACCTGTATAGAAAGCCCCACCCCCCAAAAAAGAAATCCATTTTAACTTTTGTATGTAGTGAAGGTACTTTAACCCTCTGATCATTTTTGGTCACCCCTTTCTCTTCCTCTGAAATGGCATTCTTGAGATGGAGCAGCTAGAACTGTAAGTAGTATTCCAACATTGCGGCAGCATAGATTTGTGCAAAGGTACAACGAAACTGACAGTTTTATTTTCAAACCCTAATAATAATTTCAAGCCTTAATAATCCCTAGCATGAAATTTGCCTGCCTTTCTTTCTTTCTTTCTTTCTTTCTTTCTTTCTTCTAAGTTTTAACTGGGTTACTCCCACAACCCTAAGATCACTTCCTTTGTTAGTTGCTGCTAGGTCAGGTCCCATCTCTGTGTATACATACATAGCTAGAATTGTGTCTCATTTCAACATGCAACACTTACAGACACTGGAGCTCATTTAGAAGAAGAAGAGTTTGGATTTGATATCCCGCCTTTCACTCCCTTTAAGGAGTCTCAAAGCAGCTAACAATCTCCTTTCCCTTCCTCCCCCACAACAAACACTCTGTGAGGTGAGTGGGGCTGAGAGACTTCTGAGAAGGCCCAAGGTCACCCAGCAGCTGCATGTGGAGGAGCGGAGACGCGAACCCGGTTCCCCAGATTACGAGACTACCGCTCTTAACCACTACACCACACTGGCTCTCATTTACCATTTTGTTGTCCCTTCTCCAGCTGCAAAAGCTGCTTTTGGGGCACTTCACAATCTGCATTGGCTTTCACCATCCTTCATAACTGAATAACCTCTGGCAAACACAGCCGCTCACTTCAGATCATTTATGAACATGGGAAATGGCACCACCAGTCCCAATATGAACCTTTATGATGAATCTCTTCCCCAACCCCAAAACATGAACTGGTCCCCCGACTGCTTCTTGTATTTTATACTTTCCCACTGATACCTACAATTTTAGGTCACTGGCTCAGCAATAGGTTAGACACTGACATAAATTTGGCAAAATTCACTTTTGCCAAAGCAGCCTACCAGTGCAATATTTCTATAACATTCTAGGCTGCTGCTCACTTCAATTCTCCCCTCCCCCCACCAGCCTCCTCAGTGAAGTGTGCGTGCTAGTTGCTGATCTAGCAGTTTGCACATCTTTCATTTTTAATTTTTTGCTCTGCTGATCCAAGCCTTCTTCAGCCCCAGCAGCAATGCTGGAAAGAAGTCAGTGGTGTCATCCCCCACCCCACCTCACCTACAGGTTTTCTTTCTTTCTTATCTTGCAGTGATTTGTGATAGATGGAGCCAGTGCTGCTGCTGCTGCTGCTCGTGATCCTGTGAGCCATTGTGAATGGTTCCTTCCCCTATAAGGGGTGGACACATTCAGCCAATAATAAAAAGTTTTCTTGCATTGTTTGGAGGTTTTTCGTACTGCAAGAAGGAGCAGGGCTCAATGTAAACTGTTCTGGTAGCTT